ATACTGCAGCTCTTTTCTCTCTGACCTATGTCCTCCCCTCTGCTTTGGCTCAGTTACCCCTTATCTGGTTTCCTGAGGTGGGAGGTCGGCCTCTGCATGGAGATCTCTGCATCCTGGTGGAGGCGGGTACAGTGCACACCGCCCTCTGAGCAGCTTGGCGCACCCAGAGAGTTTCCCGTGCTCCGTTGTCTTTTTCGTTCATCCAGCATTTTCAGCCTCCTTTGTGAGTCACTTGACCTCCTGGTCATTTCGGAGCGTGTTGTTTAATTTGCACACTTAATTTGAAATTTCTTTCTCATATTGTTTTCCAATTTTATTCCATTGTGGTTAAGAGAGATTTTGTATGATTTCTTTAAGTCACTGAGGCCTGATGTATGGTGTATCCTGAGGAGTGTTCCATGTGCATTTGAGAACTACCCTCTGCTGATGCTAAGTGACTATTTTCTGTATGTCTATTAGCAAAAGTTCATTTACAGTGCTGGCCAATTCTTTGTTTCATTATTTGTCTTGTATCTAGTCTTCTATCCATTAAAATTGAAATCACCAACTAGTTATTGTTGAACCACGATCTCTACTATCCATTCTAAATCCACGAGGATCTCATCTCAAGATCCTTAACTTAACCAATCCATGAAGATCCCTGCTCTGAATAAGGCCACCCTCACAGCACCAGGTGGGCATGTCTCTGGGGAGGGACATTAGTCGGCCCACTAAGGAGAGCGCATGAACTGAATTCACCAACAACCGGGGGGTGGCAGTTCAGAGGCCCTGGGAATCAGTGGCAGCCCCTTCCGGGCTCACTGTTGCCTCTCTGGGCTCCACCCACCGGTGACCAAGGCTTGGAAAGGCCTCAGGGGACCTCAGTCTCCTCTGCCCTTAGCTGACGTGCTCGCCCACAGCATCAGAGGGGGCTGCAGAACTGAGAACCAAAGCTGAGGGCCGAGCAGCTGGGTGCTCACCTCCCAGTTCTCATGTGTCCACCTGTCCACTCCCTGATCCTGCTGAGGACAGGGCCCTTCCCCCCCTCCTGGGCCGGGATGTGTCTGGGGGACCATCAGGCTTTGGAAGGTCCCATGTGAGGGTTTGGGGGTTCACATCAGGTGCTCTAAGGGGAAAAAGCTCCATTGAACATCTCTCTCCCTTTCTGGCCCCAAGGCACCACTCCAAAGGCCAGAGCCATTCGTCAAAAACGGCAGAAGAGACATCAAAGACAGAGGGCGGCCCGAGTCCCCTTCCTGCCCACCTGCATCTAAGTAGGACCCCCGCCTCCAGCCAGACCTCCCAACCGGGCAGCACTGGGGCCTCCATCCACTGCCCCACTTCCAGTCCCTTCCCCTCCTCTCCGACCTCTGCAGACGACATGGGAGATGGTCACCCTTTAACTCCCTCGCATTCCGGTGGTTTCCTCGTCTAGTTTCCATGGTAATAGCCGTGTGGATACAGGCAAGGAAGCGGGAGGGAGGGCCCTTGAAATAATGATGTTGAAAACTTGCACGGGCCTGTGCTCCCAGCTACCTGGTGGTTTCCATGGAAACTGAGGCAAGTGACAGAGCTAAATGGAACAGGCTCTGGATTTCCTCTCCAGCACCCAGGTACCTGCAGGAGAGCTTCCCAGGGCAGGGGAGTGCTTTGGCATCGGCTCGGGGGGTTGCCTTGGCACCCACCACCAAAAGACATCTTCGTTTCTTATAAGGGGGCAGAGATGCCCCTCTTGAAACTCACCTGACAGTGGGAAGTGCAGGTGAGCAGGGCCACAGTGGCCGCTGTCCTGAAGTCAGACCCGGGCTTCACTCTCCTCCTCTGAGACACGCAGGGGAGGCTGCGGGTGGGCGTAGCAGGGGCACTGAGCACCTGGAGGGTGCAGAGGCTGCCCACCTCCAGCCAGGACCCAGGCTGACGCCATCATGGTCACGTCCCCCCAGCCACTCTCCACAGTGGCTTGTCCAGGTGGCTGGGCCAGTAAATCCAGGCGGCATCTCCTAAGCAGCACAGCCCCAGGAGCCAGAAGGTCACTGGAAATGGACTCCAGGTACCCCTCATCCAAAGCTCATCCACTGAAGAGGCCCGGGCCCCTCTGCTCCACCCAGGATGTGCTCAGGAAGTGCCCCAGGGAAGAGAGGTACAGGACGTTGCCACACCTGGGGCCATTGCCAGATTTATAGCTCTGGTTCCCAGCCAGGAGCCCAAATCAGCCCAGGGTTCCTCGTCCTGCCCTGGACACCATCTGGACACAGAAGAGTGACTTGTGCCGTAGTCCCGCTGGGCTAGATAACCGGGAGGTGACAAGCAACTTGAAGGTTCAAGCGGGAACTACTTTATTGCGAGTGAACTCAGCAGGAACTGAGTGAGAACCCAAAGTAGCGGGCACCCGAGATAGCAGGAGCCGCTTCCCTGCCGGACAGCAGAGGTACATATACCTGATTACACACAGCTTAACTCAACCAGCATCATCTAGATACTGCAGTCAGCCAATAAGGAATCCCCATCGTCTTAATGGCTCGCTGGCGTTGTTCACAAACCTCTCCTCCTGGCAAAGTGCCAGGCACCATCTTGACTTGATTTCAACCCTCAACAGACTTGGAAGCCAGGCACAGCCTGGTCCTGCCTGTAGCCTAGCCCAGGTCTGAAAGTAGGTCTGGGCCTGTGTCCCCTTCTACTCTGGAGACAACCGGGAACACCTCTGGACTCTGTTCTCCCTTCGGCGAGATCTGCACTCCTTGAACTAGCTACTTCATTTCACAGCCACCGAGCCTGCGGTCACATCTCTCTCCATGTCTCAACACGACTGTCACATTTGAAAAATGCTGGAACCCAGAGGCGATGGCACGCAGACAGGCTCACAGGGTGCTTTCTGGCCAAGCCCTCCAGTGGATCCCCACCCCACAGACTCCACACACAGTCACACAGAGGGCTCCTGTGGAGCCTGGGGCCATCGCAGCTGCACAGAGGCCCAGCCAGCCACTCAGGAGACGGGCTGGAGAACCTGTGCACCCACGCCCAGCAGAGCAGGGACAAGCTCAGACCTGCACAGTTCCTAAGTGAAATCTGTCCCTGACTTGCCAAACCTCGTCCCAGCCCCTTCCCCAGGGTCCTGCAGGAGGCCGATTCCCGGGGCTCCGAAGCACGGCGCCACCACCCTGGGGAGTTCACTGTTATCCCCTCAGCTCTACACCCAGGCGGCTAGAGACACCTCAGACCTGAGAGAACGCGCCTGGTGAGCTGCAGCTCCAAGCCCCCGATGCCCCGGACCATTGTGGTTCCCAAGTGTTCCTAAGAAGGAAGAGATGAAAGACGTCCTCATTCTGGGACATGAAATGGGAACGCGAATTTAGATGAAACGTTTAAATCCCTCTCAAAGGACAGACAAATGTCTGAGCAGTGGGATTTCCACAGGCAGGAACAGAGACGCCAGCAGCCTGCCCGGGAGTGCGGGGCTGGAGGGGGTCCTCACGCTTACGGGGGGCTGTGGTCCAGAGGAAGAGAGGCCTCGTTCCCCTCAGAGGGCTCCTGCCCCACAGGAAGGCTGGGCAGCCCCTCTAGGGAGCCAGCCCCTGGCCAAGCAGGCCCTGGGGTCCTCCGGCTGCTCCAGAGGTGGAGGCTCCACAGCGGGCAGCGGAGACAGAGCAGAACAGCCTGCTCTCCAAGGTCCTGGAGCTGTGCGCGCAGACCCACCCTCCGTCCAGGGAGCGCCTGCCCTTCCTGCGCGAGCCACTGTCTGAGCTCAGGCTTTGGTCGTCAGCCCAGGCGAGGACCCCACAGGCAGGCTGAGACTCGCAGGCCAAGCTGGCCACAGGTGCTGGCCAGCAGAGAGGTGGTCCAGGAAACAGGGAGGCAGAGTTCGCCATTGCCACGGCTGGCCATGGGGCCCCACTGCCCCACATCTGAAGTGAAGCCTGCGACTTGGAGGAAGGACCCTCTGAGCCAGGACAAAAGCAGCTCTCCCCCCTCTAGGTCGTTCCTGTCCGGTGTTTTGGTCGCAGTGACAGAAAGCTGGCTGACACCCCACCCCGTGGTTTCTACACATGACCCATGTCAGCAAAACCTTTGAGATGGAACCACAGGTTACTCAGTGTCCTTCAATGTGACAGGAGGTGCCCAGCGCTCCAGGTTCTCTGACTCTGTGGAGACCGGCGCCAGGCCTTAGGTTGGGCCATCTCCAGCTCCCTGAAGAGAGCAGTGGGCACGTGGGAGGCCGCTCCTGGTGGAGAGCGTCTTGCCCACAACAGCACCTGCCACTCTCTAGTAGAGAGAAGATTGTGCTGAAGATGGCGCCACGGACCCACAGGACACCCCTGCTCCCCGCGGGGAGTTCCCCCCTGCCCTCCTGTGGCAGCTGCCCTCCCCCCTGACCTCCTGCTGGCGGCTGCCCTCCCTCCTGCCCTCCTTCCTGCCCTCCTGCTGGCGGCTGCCCTCCCCCTGGCGGCTGCCCTCCCCCCTGCCCTCCTGTGGC